CCCCAAAACCCCAAAACCCCAAAACCCCAAAACCCCTGCTATTAAAATAAAAATTGAAAATGTTGGGAAAGTTGTGATTCAGATCTTTTCATCGTATATCACAAAGTCTGAGTTCTAAGCCTAGCATGTTCATGAAATTTCCTGCAAGGTTTAGGCATTCAATGACTAATCTCTATGAATCATTAGGTGTAGGGAGGAAAGCAAGCCAGAAAGAAATTGAAGAGGCTTATCTTTCCCTCAAGAAGGTCTTTACTGACGACACTATGGACTCTATGGCTCAATCTAGTAAGTTTTCTAGAATTCCTATTATTTTATTAAAATGAATTGCAAATCAGCTAAATTAGTCAAATATAGTGATGGCTGATGCTAAAATGGCTTATGAATGACTTTCAAATCCTGAAAAATAGGGAGGAGTATGATGAATACCTCTCTTCACATCTAAAAGTGGCAGGCTACCAGAGAAGATTTGCAAATGATTTCTCAGAATCTGACACTGAAGAGGAGGAAAGGACCAAAAAGCGAGATAAAGATAGAGGCAAAAGAAGGTTTGAAGAGCAAGACCAATTTTTCAATGAGAAATTTATGAATGGATATAACTCTCGAAGAAGGAAAGCCCAAGAGGAAGAATTTCACCAAAGTATTAAAAACTTCACTTCTAAGGGAGAAGACGTCAAGGTTGAGATTACTATTGATTTTAAGGAATCAGTCAGAGGGACTACCAAAGGGCTGATGATTGATAAGGACGTCAAGTGCCATACTTGTAAAGGAACAAGAGCAGCCAAAGATACAGAAATTTCAATTTGATATAGTTGTAAAGGCAAGGGACTAAAGAAAGACCAACTCTTTGGGAGCTTAATCAAGTGAAATACTTGTGAGGGACATGGGAAGATACCTGTTAAAAGGTGTGGGACTTGCAACGGAAAAGGCTTAATCTCTCAACAAATCGGAGAGAATATAGTCATACCTCCTCTTACTGAGCATGGCGATTACTTAAAATTAGCTAATCTTGGCCATACTTCAGCCTATGAAGGAGGAGAGGCTGGAGATTTGATTGTTAAAATTGATATTTACAATAATGGGCATTATGTTAGAGATGGCTTTGATATATACTCTCTACTTCCAGTAACTGTCTCTGATGCGCTATTAGGGACATATTTGGAAGTCAAAACAATCGATGGAAACACAACAACAGTAGTAATAAAAAGAGGCACAATGCATAAAGACCTTATTAAACTCCCTGAGAAAGGTCTGTATGACCAAGAATCAGGAAAATACGGAGATCATTACGCAAAGGTGTACCTCCAAATACCAACTAATATCACCAAAGAAGTCAATGATCTCATTAAGGGGTGATTTTAACATTTTCAATAAAACCTTCTAGAAAAGGGGTTTTGGGGTTTTGGGGTTTTGGGGTTTTGGGG